AGAAAAGCCTTGGTAAGCGGCGCATTCGGGCCACACATCAAACCCATCATCAAAGGCGGCTGATCCTCTGCAATCATCGGAGGAACGGGGGCGACCCCCGAGGCCAGGTCCTCCGCCCCAGCCTCGGGGCACCCTCACTTGGTCTTTTCGCGGCACTGATGGGCACCATGCCCCGGCGAGCCACAGGCGCGCTGTGCCCGCACCACGACGCCACACTTGTGAGCGCCCTTGCCGCACCTCGGATTGTTGCACTTGCCGGTCTGGAAATCCTGGCAAAGGCGAGTGCCATCCTTGAGGACCGCCGCCACGCGCTTCCCATTGACGCTCGGGCCCTCCTTGAAATGCGAGACCTGGGGCGCCTGTGCACCGGGCGGTGCCGCCGTCCCGGCGGTGGCCTGGGTCTCTCCCTGGCCAACCGGGAAAGCAGCTGCGTGCACAACGCAATGGGCATCGCGGGACTCCATGACCTGCTTCATGATCAGCCCGAGCGGCAGCGTACTCTCACGGAACCTTGTGACCCACTCGCTCCGCTCCTCGATATCCTTAGTCTGGAGCCATTGAAGCCGCCGAGACGGTGGGAGGCTTGTGACGCATTTCTTGGCCCGAAAGAAGTAGGAGGAAGCAACGTCCAACGGAACGCCGACGAACTCCACAGATGAGGCACTCAGACAGGCTTCTTTGCTCATATCAACCCCTGGAAGCGGGTGCACTCCCGCCATACTGTAAGCCAGGAGCAACGTATAGAGCTTGTCCAAGTAGGTATCCACATCGCGGGACACGGCCTCCTCTGTTTCGACCTCCTCAGTATACAGGTTCTCACCGAGCTTCCGTTTACGCTGGACAGTGGTCAGTTGGAAGTGTAGAGACCGAACCTGCCAGATGGAAAAGACGCACAACATGCGTTTGGAAAGCTCCCTGGATAACGCTTCCAGAAAGCCTGCTTGACATCACGCAACTCTGCGTCCTCCAACATAGTGTCCAGGTCGGTCAAAGCCACCTTAGATCGGTCTTGCTCGGAAGTTGAGAAATACAAACGGACCGCCGACCAGGCCCGGCGAAGCCTGGATGTTTCGAGCAGGGTCTCCAAAGAAGCCTTGAAATCCGTCCCGTCCCTCGGGACCAAAGCTTGGGACATCGCGCCCCGCTCGCCTGTCACTCAGGCCTCGGCTCCCCGCCGACTGGGTCACTCCCAGCTCGCTCGAATATGTACCTCACTCAAGCCGAAACTCACGCGGAGACCTGCGCAGGCAAGAGCAAGGCTAAAAGGAGGGGGGGGCAACTTGCCCAAGCACAGGGACCTGAAGCACACACTCATGCCTGCACCCCTGCCATGAAAGCATGCTCGCACTGAAAAAGGCACTCTTTTCCCGGAGCTCTCGTGTGCAAGATGCGCACGAGCCGCAAAATGCGACGCAAGAGAGGTCAAAGAGGCCCCCCGGCCGCGACGGCGGTCAGCAAGGACTATAGTGCCAGGGCTACTAGGTACATTCACGGGGCACCTGCCAAACTGAAGCATTGAACGCAGCTCTCTTTGAGCCACGCGAAAGCCTCGTACTTGTCCGAGGTCCTCATATAGGGGATGAGAGTTTACGGGCACCTCTGGCGTGCTTGTGCTGGCAGAGGGTCACTCCCCCTGCCGTCTCTAGGTGCAATAGGGACATGTTCGTCGCCACATAGGCCACTGGAAGCGGAGGTGGTGCACCCAACTTCGTCAGGCGGACTGTCCGCAACATCCAGTCACTCAGGTCCCTGTTCTGGCGGCGAATCTGACTGAGTTCAATCTCGCGCCGCTCCTGGATGTAACTCTCAGAGATGTCGAGGCTATCGCCACTCAGGATGGAACGGAGGACCGTCTTGGCTGCAGCGCCACGGTGCCGCCCAGCCATGCAGTGCGTAAGCACATTCTGGCCCTCGTGCAATGTCGCCCGGACCAATGGCAACAGGGACTGGAAGTCGGAATCACGACGATCGCCCGAAGTAATCTGCCACTGTCGATGCAGAGCACCCGGGAGGACAATTCCTCCGCGGTCTGCTGGGGACTTCGCCATGGCCGTGACTTGGAGCGCAATGTCGGGGAAGTTGGCCTGATTCGCACGAGTGGGCAGGCCACCAAGGTACAACTTGCCCCCGGCCAGAAACTCCAACGCCCGGCGGTCCACACGATGGCCTTCCCGCGCGAGCCGATCATAGCGCGACTCTGAGTCTTCATGCGGCCTCTTCTTACCGCGGCCACGATCGGCACCTGCAGCGGCCCCTTCTCTGGAACCGGAGGACCTTGGCCTGTCCACCCAGGATGCCACCAGGAAAGGTGCCGGCCCGGATGATGAAGAGGCTGGCTCGGCCCTCCTCGGGCGGTTAGCCCATGTCGCGCCAGGCATCGCCGGCGGCCCTGTTGCTGGCGAAGAAGACTCTGGCGGAGGAGCACGAGGTTTAAGCTGAACCCGTGGGCGAGGCTCCTCCTTGGGCTCAGCCCGGCGCTTCTTGGGCATAGCCTTCTGCTTAGGCTTCGCCTTCGGGCGTGTGGCCGCTGTCTCCTCCACTTCGACTTCGACCTCCACGATGTCAGTCTCCTCAGTGGACACCACAGGCAAGGGAGGCCGAACACGAGGAAGAGGTGGGCGGGTCGCTCCCGTCGCAGCCTCCTGCGCCACTGTAATGGCCGACGGCACATCACCCGGCTTGACCAAGCGACGGTCATGGCACTCGCGGGCTGGATGCCTCCCGCCGCAAACCCGCCCCGACCGGAGCACCGCCGCACACTGGTGGGCCAGCGCGCAGTTGGCCGCCCGACAGGCTTGGGATTGAAAAGCCCGGGCAAAGGCGCATCCCATTGCGCAAGAAAGCAGAGCACACTCGCCCGTTCACCTGGGCAGGCATAACCGGCTCCTCCGGCGACCGGCGGGTCTCTCCCGCGGTCACCGCTCGACTCTGGCGGCGGAGTCGGAGGGGGCAAGCTTGGCTTCGGGGCCGGGTGTACCCGCGCGCACCTTCTCACCGACCTCTTCACGCAGGCCTGGGTCAGCGGCATTGAGGCGGCCTGGCGGCACCTCCGACCAGGTGTCAAAGGAAAGACACCGAGCCGTGGCCGAGAGCACAAGGTGCTTCACCCGCACGCTGGCAGCGTAACGAGTGCCACTATAGTGCAAAGGCATCGCCGCGCCGGTCTCTCGTATGCGGCCCTTGTCCTGCCAATCACCCAGAGCAAGCATGCTCAGCTCATCCAACTGGAGAAGCGTACCCACGGACGGTGCCACACGCCGCCACGAGTAGGTAGTGACTGGCGGCTCCATCCCGCTGAAGACCTCCTGCGTCAGCATGGTGACTTGGCGCAACTGCCATGGCCGGCCGGCCGGGTCAAAGCACAAGCCACAGCGCTTCCGCGCCGCCGCCGGCAAGGAGCCATAAAACTCCACCCAGGCCTCCGCCCACGCAAAGCCTTCCGTGAAATGCGCTGGCACTGACCAACGGAAGCCAGCTCGTGAATGAGCCTGTTTGCCACGGCCACACCACATGTGGGCAGTTGACTGCGTGACGCATACGGGGAACGACCTCTCGAGGTGCTTGTGGCGCACACAGCCGGCCATGATCAGCCAATCGGCCAGGAGGCACGAGCAACGAGGATCGCTCTGCTCATACATCCTGGCAACCCTGTGCTCGAGCTCCTCGATCATGCCGGGCTCAGCCACCGCGGCCTGGGCGGGTCCCTCCCGCCCAAGGGCTGGTGCTGGCCGAAGATCACCCAGCTCCCAAGAAAGGCCCGACAACTTGACGAGCCAACGCCCGAGCCGGGGCCTGGGTACCCTCCTGGAGGAAGGCGAAGAGGTCAATGGAGTCGATGTCGCCGAGCCCATCCGAGCGGCCTCGCAGCTGCTGCCACTGAGAGAGCTCCCGCGGCGTCTTCAGGGTCTTGTTGATGGTCGCCTCCTCGGCCGCCGCGACCTTGTTCGCCGCCAAGACCCGCAGGAAGGAAACCCACTCCTGACGGCGATCGCCCCGAAGATCAACCGGACGCCGCGCACCCGCAGCAACCAGGTAGTCCGCCAACTCGGCAGCCACTGGCCCTGAGACATCCGGCCTCCTCTGCCGCTGAGGGGCCTCTCTGCGACCGGCCGCTTCCGCATCATCTTACTCAAGCGGACCACAGGCTGAGTGGCGGGAGGAGCCGCGGCGCCAGCTGCAACCGCTCTATCCACGAGACTCATGAGGGCATCATCTTCCAGGTCCTGGGACAACTCCGACCAGGCATCGGCCACCGCATGTCCAGCATTCTCCGCCGCTTCTTCCCAGGACGAGAATGCATATGCGAAATCGTTGTCCTCCAGCAGGCCGTGGCGCTCACGGAACGAAGCTATACCGCCTGTGCTGCCATACGGTCCACGACCGTTTCGGCAGAGGTCCCTGGGGGCGCGTCCACCGCACCGGCGCGGCCCTCCATCGCCTGAGTTGCATAGATGCCCGACATCGGCCCAACAGCAAGCGCTGCTGCGAGCAATACCCCTATCCTACGAGCATGAGGTGCAGCGGGACAGGCAGTCAAGGCATGATGGCTGCTGGCAGGAACGGCATTGCAAAACAGAGGGCGTGCCACAGCTGCTGCAAGGTGCGGGGAGGATGGCCAACCCTGCCTCCAAGGCCCCGAGCAAAAGCCAAAACGCTCGGTGAGCCCGCGCCCGCTCATCACGCCGACCCTCCGCCCAAGAGGGAACCGGAAAGTAGGCCGGCTCCCGCCAGAGTAGCTCGCCACACTGCCAGGCTCGCCACAGCTGCCAAAGCTGTGAAGGGGTCGCTCCCCTTGGATGCTCCTGGCTCTCCACATGACGAAGCAGGCGGTTGACGTGGTCCGGCAGCAAGTCCGTTGGCCAAAGACCTGAGCCCAGGCTGAATACATCTGCCACGTTGAGGCGGTCTTCGCCGCTCCTGTGGTAGCTCTCCCAGGCTTGAGCCGGAGGCATATCGGCCGAGACAACAATGGAGCGCCGAGCATAGGTACCCACAAACGGGAAGCGAAACCCACCCCTGCCTCGAAGGCAGCGAGCGCAGTCGACCTCGACACAAGGAACCGTCCTGATTGCGGGAACACCTGCTGGCAAACCCTCCAATAATCCAGGAGGGGGTGGCGGAAAGTGCTGGACCTCCAACACAGATCCCCACAGGAGGGCCGCCTCATAGTTCTCACCTGCTTCCACGAGCTCCCGCAAGTGCCTGCGGAACTCCAATAGTGCCGCTGGATGAAGGAGCTGCACATTTGTATGCACTGCCAAGCGCGAAACGGCTTAGTGCATAGCAGGGTCCGCCTGCATAGACAAGGGTCTCTCCCTCGGAAGAATCAAGAGGGTCACTCCCTCAGAAAGCAAAATCGGAAAGGGGGTCAACTCCCCCGCCTCCA